ACTTTAGACAACATGGATAACATTGACAACATTTTGCCATACACATAACAACATTTATTCATCCATGCACGATCCATGGGCCCTAAATCTACATTCAACATCAGTATAACAATTTTCTTGCTATTCTTACACAATTCCCAAGTGTCAAACTGACAGAAATTGAAGCTACTAACGGGAAGATTATACATTAATATTTTCCAAAAATATTGTTACATGCGAAGCCCCAATTTGAGATCTACCCTTCCATGCAGTCCTTATTACATCTTGTAGATCCTCCTCCGCGTAGATCTCATTCAGAGCTTCATTCACAACAAAGCACGACATTGCTCCTAGCAAGATGCAGGTGGCCAGCATAAACGAAAATTCATACGTAAATTAGTGTCTCAATAAAGCATATGACTGACATTGAACATAGTTTCTACATATATCGAATCGTATGCACATCATCCACGAAAGGCACAAAATCACATTACACAGTTCGAGTGGTAAATGGCCAAAATGTATTACAGAAATTGACGCAAGTGCACTGTCAAATATTGACCCATTCATAGTATGTTAACATATGATCGACTCACTTATTTCTTTATTCTCTTCATCTCTCTAGTGTACGGAATCCTGGTAGATACTGCAGGCAATCGAAGGCTTGTCATCGCCGCCTCTTTGTGTGAGCCACATCATTTACTTCTTCGGGTATGGTGGGCGCAACCAACAATTCAGTCGCACCGCCTACGCAAAAGTACGATAAGCTGAAATTCATAGTCAACAATAGCTTCCAAGTTTACATTTATCAAATGCAGTCGGGATTTAGACATATTATAACTTCTGCAATGGTCCAAGACCCTTTTTACGTACTTAAGGTTGCTTCGTTGCGAAATGTGAGCTTGCAATCGTGCATTTTCCGGAACGAGGAATTCGAAATCCATATCTTCAACAAAGTGCATCGAGAAAGCAAAAAAATATATCAGATCATAATATTTGGTACATGTTTATACCAAGGTATAACAACAAATTAAGAAACATAATTTAACGAAATAATACGAAGATCATATAACGAAATAAAATGAATATCATGTAATACGAAAATCATAAAACACAAAACAGTATATTACAAATCTACAAAAATAATTGAAAAAATTGTGGTTCACAATATTTCGTACATGTTAATGCGAAACATACATATTATGTTCGAATGAACCAA